CGAGCTCGACTCAAGCCGCTCGTGAGCGGCCCCGCTCGCGAGCGGCTCGATTCGTTTGCAACCCTAATCCCACCTGTAGTATGTTCCAAACTTACTGAAAGCATCTTGTAGTATGTTCTTTTTTTTTTTTTAGTGTAAACAGGAGGACTCGAACCCAAGACCTCTTCCTTGCACTCCCTTCCCCGTACCACCCAATCCAACCCTCCCCCTAGTATATTCAAAATAAAAAAAAAATTCATCATGCTCATCCTATGCTAATAATTAATTATGTATAATAGGGACATTCTTTTCTAGAGAAACTTTTAGCAGTGAAAGTGCAAGATATATGTTACAATAAGCATTGCATGTGATTGATATTTGATACTAAATGGCCAGCAATTTGTTTATTGCTTAAGGAAATATTTTTTATTCATATATACATTTCTCCAAGATTTTTTAAAGTTAAACAATGAGATAAATTTTCTTATTTTGCATGGGAAGAAGTATGTAGTTATAATGTGTAGAAAGTAAAGATAGAGATAAAAGTAAAAATATTTCAAAAGGGAAACAAACACCAGAAAAATGAAGTAGAAAATATTTTTAATAAACTAACCAAACACCTGAAAATGATGAAAGGGAAATGATTTTCATGAAAAATTACTTCCACAGAAAATATTTTTCCAAAGAAAATATTTTACTTTCAACCAAACAGACCCTAAGTCTCGTATCGAAATATCATTTATTCACAACAACAAAGTTACCAAATTTTGTTAGTAAGTACAAAATTGTCTAGCATGCCTTTTCTTTTCTTTTTTTTTTCCCCTTTTTTCTGCTCATGATCATGTTGTTCTTTCAGAGTAGAATTTTACTGAATAATCAGAAAAGAAAAGGGACGAAAGTTCAACAGTTAGACTTTTTCTTTTTTACATTCTTTATTTCTTTCAAGTATCAAACAAAATAAAAAGGTTAAAGAATAAACATTTCCTTGGATCTGCACCTATGGTATTGTGGCATGTGATCTAGCCGAAGTCAACCATGTGATCTCCAGACCAAACCATGGCTTAGTTCAGTTGATAGGGAAGAAAACTCACTGATTAATCAAGACTAAAAAAAAAAAAAAAGGTCTGACAAACGATTAATTTTTAAAAAAACCCAAATAGTTACACGTAGCCGCTGCCCCTGACGGCTTGGATCTAGCATTGAACACTAAGACCAATCGCTACTTCCCCGTATTGCCCGCCGGGTTGTGGGGATCCACCGCTCTTCCGCGTGTCGGACTTTTCATCTTCTGATAGGTCAAAGCGTAGCCAATAATCTCTCCGGTGCCCTTATGATCATCCGGCACCGACTAGGCAAAGTAAAAATTGCCCACCACTATTCATTAGTATTGCCATCGAAAAAAGGCAGTTCTTGAATGATGTGCACATTTTATCATATTTTAAACTATTATTAGATAGATATTATATTTTAATTGTGTTGGTACAATTTTTAAACTTTTTTTATTCACCATTTTATTTTTACTTTTTCAATAATGCCAGCACCGTGCATAGCACGGGTATTCACACTAGTTGTCACACTAAAATTCAAGAAATTTGAAATTCTTACGTGCGCATGTGTGTGTGTGTGATATATATATATATATATTTAAATGAATTCGACTCCAATCACCATCACGAATCATGACATGCTATTAAAATTACAAGTCGTTTATCGAGATATTTATAAAATTATTCATGAATATGAGCAGCCAAAATTATATGATTCCCTCTATAACATTTGCTTATAATCACTACATTGTAAGTCTGATTTTCCATGATTAAAGAAGAAAAAAAAATCTGTTGTGTATTTTCAACTTGTTACGAAGTTAGGATAGACCAATAATTATGTTCTTTTTTAACATTGCTCTCTTACAAGAAATTTAACGGCAAGAAGGATACTGTAGATTCAAAAGTTCAGAGACAATAATGTTTCCATTATCAGCCATGTTTCGAAAACAAAGCGTGCATATATTACTCAATAATGATATTGTTGGAGATGGAAACTTTTCGAGTTCCAAACTGAAAATGCATTTATTTTTCTTTCCCTGCATCATAGAATTTCATTAGTTTAATTGTAATCAGTTGGTATTCGTGGGTCACATAATTAATTGAATTCCAACCTCAAATATATTCAAACTCTCCTCTAAAGGTCAAAACCAAGAAGCTCCTGATTTCTTACTACTAACACGAGTAAACCAGGCGGGAATCTAGAGCTGCACAGAACCTCGTAGTAATTACTAGGAAATTTTCTTCCAATCACACATGCCATGCAATTAATTCTCTTCTAAAGAAATGGATTTCTTTAATCACAAATGACAAAAAACCCTGATTTAAATTCCAATGTCTTGTTGCCTTAGTTTGCAAGCTTGTGCATGAACATCCCTTGCTTGTGCTGCCAAGAAGATCAATGGCCACCAAGTTACTCAAGCTCCTCACCGTTCTCTCTCTATCCCTCGCCTTACTGCACTCTCAAACGTCGGTTTCTTCCTCCTCAGCCACCATTCTGGAAGACGACGATGATCAGGAAGAGTACATCCTAGACGCACCATTTGCACACACTCATTTGAGAAGCCGGTTCTTGGCCAGCGTCAAGAAAGGCTCAAGTTGCAACTCTCAAAAGAAGAACAAATGCAATGGTGTGTGGGCAAATGGAGGAACAAGTCTTCTCTACTGCTGCAAAAATCATTGCAGGAATGTGCTCGGAGACGCAAACAACTGCGGCCGATGTGGGAGCAAGTGCAAGTTAAACGAGAAGTGCTGTGGCGGAAGATGCATTAATGTCATGTACGACCGTTACAACTGCGGCAAGTGTGGTGGAAGGTGCAAAAAGGGCCTAAAATGTGGCCATGGATACTGTGGCTACGCTTAATCACGGATTCACACCCCAATAATGCATGTGCATGGGTGCATGCATGAAATGATTTGGGGAAGAATTTGGAGTCTTTTCCCTTGGAAGGGGACTTGTCACCTTAAAGGGATCGACCATATTGGACTGGAGAGTAAGACATGGATCTCTTCAGCTTTTCTCTATTGCATTAAGATGACATGAACGACCAGTTCATGAACGGTCATACAGACGGTAGATTTTTGCAGATGCTGGAATTTTGATGATTTTTTGTATGTAATACTCTTTTGCTTGCATACATAGTGGTTGAATAATGGGGGTTTTGATTTTTCTTTTTATAATTTTGTTTATTCCCGTTGCATTTGTTTGTTTCTTCTACCTCACTTCAGATTTGAGCACATGATGATAACTGAAGGAGTGGATGAAAAGAGCAACGATAACGAGGTTCCATGGTCGGGCATTTCATTTCACTGTTACGATCATTTTCGTCGAGAGACTTCTTTTCTGTTTTATGGATGTATGTTGCGGTATTTTGATCATTTGGTTGCTCAAAATGTTACTTCTCCAGCTAACTTAGCCAGGAGTTATATCCAACTTGATTGCTCAAGCAAATTGGGCATTTCTTTCTTCGGTAACGATATTGGTGCAGCTCTAATGTTTCTTGGACCAAATCAATCCCAAGATCTCAAGTCTCTCCTTGGGCTACAGGCGAGGATTCAAATTCCACCTGCAGCGAAACAAATTCAAAGGTGGTGCCGGAACACCCTTTTGGTCTAGTAAGATTTATACACTTAAATAAAATAGGTTATTGACCCACCCATCCCCACCACCTCGAATTATATTCCTTTTCCTTTTCCTCTCCAAGTAATTCATTTTGGCAGAAACATTTTATTCCACACAAAGCATATCAACAAGCTGTACAAGCCCTGAATCCATAGTATGACTTTCCTCCATAGTTTGAATACATTTTATGACTTTCCTCTTTTCCCCAAATCCATAGTATCCAGACATTTCAACTGCACGAATGTGCTCTTTTGGGGAAAAAAAATACTAATAATAAGCCCATTTGCATGAAGGAGAATTATCTAAGGTTTACAACTTGGCAACATGAACGGGTAGATCTAAAACTATAATAGCTTCTCGACATTTTCTCCACAGGCAAAAATGATTGAAGCACAAAGTGTTGCATTCACATTTTCCGCCAAGAAAAGCAAACAAATCATACAAGAACGGCCATAAATGACCTTTTTTTTCCTCTTTTGTTATGAAATTTGTACACTACACGATGTCCGTCTATGAGAAAAAATACCATAACGCTTGCGAGTCAAAAGTTCATGGAAAAGTACATTGTAAAGCTTTGTCATTTTTATAGCTGAATGAATTGGAGATATAAACTCACCCTCTTCCCCCAATTCTTTCCATTCTACTAACGAATTTTCTAGAATAATTCGCAAATCTAGATCTGCTAATTGTTCTCGGATAGCAACCGCACCAGTGTAATACAGCTTAGAGTTTTTTTATAGCTGGATCTGAAATAAGTTCGATGCTGAAGATAATAATAGAGCAGCATCTAGTGATGAATCCGAATCAAGATACTTTGACTTTTGCTGCTCACATATATCGAATCAGTTCAACCACGAACTTACCTTTTTTTGTTGAGTTTATTTCTCCTATCTGATGATAAAAAGAACATTTGATGGTTAACAGAAGGTGACAGGACAGTACTCAATTCACACTTCACAAATATTTGAGATGATTTTTTAGTATTCTAAGTTTATAATTGACGACCATTCAAAAATAGTTTTGACACACAATCTCACCTTCAATCTTCCTCTTCCGCTGACTGAGATGATGTCTCCGGTCTTAACATTAGTATTGCTTTTCAACACACCGGTCCAATTCACACGAACATCTCCATTACTGTAAATTAAGATTAAGTTTTTTAGTTCGTTGTGCTAGCTAATAGTACAACTGAGTTTTAAGAGACTTTTCTAAAAGTTGAGGCCAACAAAAGCCATAAAAGACATCTTCAATAACCAGATGCTCACCATCATATCTTTGTTGCTACATCTTACAGGGTAACAGAACGTGAAAAAAAATGAAGAAGAACTGTAGTGTTTCTGTTATTCCATACCTGATTAAAGCGCCATTTTTGTTCGTGAAATTTTGTACCCAGCACTAGAAATGGCATCAAGCCTGAGCGATGATTCTACAGTTTTAAAAGCCTTGGTTCTATAATAAGGAAAAATGGATTTTAGTCTACAGACGGAGCCAAACAAAAACTTTTCATTCAATAATTAAAACAAAAATCACATATGGAACAGCTTGAACCTGGGCGGTTCATATTCAATAGCCAGCAATGGTATCTTTTTACAGGTGACTGAAACATTTCCAACCTGCAAATGATAATAGAAATTATTAAAATGCTGATTATTTACTTCAGTTTCTTAACTCCTCTGGAATTTAGACACTAGATGTTTACCAATTATACCATGCAATGATTAGACAATCATCTTTTTACTCTCAAACATTCAAGACTGTAAAATATATATAGAACAATTTGTGCCTTTTAAACCTTTCAGGTTTTATATATAAAAGCATACCTGCAGCTCAACAAAATTTTTAGGATTTGATGCACTCTAGAATAATTGAAACTATTATATGCCAAGATGATCTAATTTATCAAACCATAAGCAAAGATAAAGTTTCTTTTTTTTTTTAAATTGAAACACAATTGGCAGAGAATGTATAGCTAGGAAGCAATCTATAGGACAGGCCTACCTTGTCCAAGGATGACGTGAGGTAGTCAGCAAGCTCTGGAACCACAAGAATGTAAGCCCCCTTCTCTCCCTAAATATCAGAAAGAAAAAAATTCAAAATGTAATAATTATGTGATCAAAGCTAGGAAGTGATAAAATTATTCAAATCTGAAGTGAACAGTAACTGAATTTGACCATGTACAAATTCTATAGAAATTAGAAAAAAAAAATGCCAAGTATACTGTCTACAAATCAAATTCAGTTAATACATCCTATAACTTGTGTGTTCATCATCACAATTGACAGACTGTCAAATATTCAGACTGTTAGACGATATATCACATATTAAACAGATTTAGAAAATTTAAATAAACAGTGAAATTAGATCTAGAGGGATAGAAACATAAGGACTCGTTACAGATATATACGAAGTTTACTGCTTCAACTGATGTAAGACTGTATCATAAAGAAATTTCTACTGAGGCGTTTGCTTATATGTAAAGGACAAGAAAGAGAAGAACCCTGCTGCAAAACAGAGATTTCAATGGTGGAAGGTTTTCAAATGAATTTTCCCTATAGTTCAAGAAGCATAATGTGTAACAGCAGTTAAATGAAGAACCTACCTGCAAAATAATATCACCCAGCTTATCTCTCGTAATCCCTGTACCAAGGATTGCACCAAGGAAGTCACCATGCGAGCAAGGCTGGAATCCAAAGTTACCTAAAACACTGGAAACAGGAGCCAGTTCACAATTTACTAACAATTCTAGATCTAACTCAACCAACAAAATGGAGGACTGGTCACATGAATACCTTAAAGCTGCAACAATATCAGGATCACTTGTCAAAACTTCTGGATGTCCGACTGAGAGTCGGCAGCGTTCAGCCTAGCATAATTGACAGGAATAAAAATCATAAATAATTTGAGAGAAAATACTTGACATATGGCGACAAAAATCCTTCGTATCAAACCTCTGGATATCCTCCTTGAGCAACTGTTTTAATGTCAACCAAATCTTTCAAAGCTTGCATTGACTCCTTTAGTACAGGTGGTGTAAGAAAGCCAGTATGTAGAATTTCGCACCTAGTTGCTGCTCGTTTTGCCTAATATATCCATGAGGATGATGGATAAATACAAACCGATTCCAAATGTAGAACTCTTACAAAATTATCTAGTCAAATCTAGAGAAAGTCTATGTGCTTTGCCAACTACTGGGGAACAAGGTGTTTGGAGACAAATAGAAAGAAACAAAAAAGACACAGCAAGGAAACTGGGTAAATCAACGTTTGCAAACTTTAAATGAGTATGTACCATTTCAAGCACACGCTTGACATCTTCATTTGTGTCCTTGTCTCCCACTCCTTTCAGTAAAAAATCTGTATCACTCTTTATAGCCTGTGATAGCTGGCATAGACCCAAAGCTGCGTTGCAAGAGCATGAAGAACTGTGCAAGTCATCAGCCATGATAGTAGCATTTTTAGCATAAAAAATGAATCACCCCATTGAGACAGCAAGTAGAGAAATAGATGTCTCCAAGCAATGAACATTAGGAAGCCACTTAAAGAACTTGGGTCATTCATACAAGATGCATATAGCCCTTTCCATCAAAGGAACAATCTCTTTCCAGCGATCAGATTGCTCAAGACTAAAATTGGCAGAGTGCATTTACTAAAGGGACACACACTACCAACTAAGAGTTGCTAGATTATGTAACATTCAGTATTTGGGTGACAACCGTGTATGAATTCCAAGTGGGCATACGCACTAGATTCTCAGAACAAGTTTAATCACCCTACTTTCCACAAAACAAGACTCCCAGAGCCAAAAAAATTCTTATTTCTTATTCCACCAGCTATTCTAAACACCCGAACAAATACCATGAAAAGAAAAAGTACATTTCAACAAAACATACTAGCAGTACGTTTTATCTTAGAAACTCCCACATACACAGCAAGACCGACCCTGAAGATTCAACCTTTCCGGCTACAAAGTTGATAAAAAAAAATAATAATAATAATAAGGTCCATTTGTTGCATTTACCATTAAAAGGCATAACACTGGAGTTGACCATCACTCCTCGGTCCTCCTTTTAGATAACACTATAGAGAGAAGCTAATCAAGTGCTCCACAATTGAAGCTGTTTCGTACGATTCAGCCAATCGGGTCATGAAAAATTGTAAAATCGGACAAGATAAACCGTAAAGCAAAAAATAAAAAAATTATACCATCCACAAGGGAAAAGAAAGGTAGGGGAAGATAAGATTGACGGACCTGACGATGAATGGAGAGGAGTTGCAAAAGGAAGAGGCCTGGAGTAGTAGAACTTGTCTTTGAAGCCAATGGCACGAGGAGGAAGGAATTCAAGTGAGTGAAGAGCTCTTCTCAGAGCAGCTGAAGCCACGCTGGTGGCAGCCATAGCCAGTATCAACGGACCCTTACTCTCTCAGAAGTTATTGACGCATTGTTTGTTTCGAGAGCAGCAACTAGGATAAAATTTTTTAGGTTTGTTTGGACTAAGGGGAAGGAAGGGAAAAGAAAGAAGGATAGGAGGGAAAAGAGGGAGCAGATCCATGGTACTTAATCAGACTGCTTTCCATTTATAAGTGGCGAAAACTAAGAGAAATAATAGTAATAAAAATTTTAAGAGCCTATCATATTCATATCATATGTTTATCTTTAATTTTTATGAATAAAAAATATAATTAACGTGTAATAGGCAGTTACCTTTGGTTCTACAATTCAAACACTATTATTATTCTTATTTTCTAATCCAGATTAAATTAAACATCGGCGGCTGGCTGCAATTCATGACCATAAATTCTCTAACTCGTTCACTGAGTAAAGAAAAGCTATAAAAGCAGCTGTTAAAACTCAAATAAACACATTACAAAATGGATGGATGGATGGCTGGCACCACCATTATCAGTTTTGCGTCCATCAGTAGGACTACAGGATGCGAAAAAGGAACGAAAAAACATGAAGAACTAATAATAATAAATAACAAAAAGGGATAATATATGTATGTCTACTTAATACAGACAGCCCTAATCACTCGCAATCACCCAAACAAAATCCTTCCTTCGCTCAAAGACTCGGATAACTTAGAGAAGATAGTTATATCCAATTCCTATCAGCAGAAGCAGCGCTAGAGCAGCAGCCGGAGCAGCCCACAACCAGTAGTTCGTCGCCTTTTTGCGTCTGAGAAAAGCTTTTGGCAGTGAATCCGCCGCACCCCTGGGCCGATTTCTGTGTCTAACAGCGTTCTCCTTCCGGTCTTTACTTTTCGGAGAGCCGGAGTTTCAACAGCTTCCTCCCCCTTCTCCACTCAACTACCTCGGCAGGCGCTTCAGTTTGTTCCTCAGTCTCCTGAGTAGCAGCAACGTTAGCCCCGGCCTTTTTCTTTGCCCTCTTCTCACGCTCCTGCAATACATAAATGCCAATTTTGGATCAGTACACATTTTATATATATATATATATATATACATCAATTCAACTCATCATTTTCAACAGAACAATATCATGAATGAAGAATAATTTCCTTAATTTTCTTCTCAGCTTCCTTTTGTGCTTTGATTGCAGCTTTGGCAGCTGCTTTTTCTGACAACTTTTTCTTCCTTTCCATCGCCTGCTTAGCTTTTGCGATCTCCTCTTCTCTTTTCACTTCCTTCAATTTCAACTCATCAATTTCATTCACCTTTGGAGGAGCATCGTTTTGCTTCTTCTCAGGCATAACAAATTCCTCTCCATCTCCCGCATCTTTCTGCTGCTTAGTACTCTTCTCCTTCTGAACTTTCTGGACAGGGGTCGCATCAAGTTTTGAAGTACTGGAATCTTCTTTTGGTTGTTTTACATTTGTCTTGGGTACCACATCGGTTACAGCTGCAGGTGCTACCTCAACGACTACTAGAGGCTTCTCATCAGGGTTTCTCATCCGCCCATCGCTACTCAATTGACGACCATCCAGAGACGCTAATATCCTCCTCTCATAATCTTCTCTGAAGCCCTCGCTCCGCTCCACGAGGAAATAAATTTATCTACCTAACCAAGAAAAAGATGAAAGAATCAGCAAGGTTAAAACCACGACAACTCTAGAACATATACAGGCAGCACAAGTTCCTACCAACCTCTGTTTCTGAAAGTTCCTTTAGGCCTTCAACATCCTTCTTTTCTGCAAGGCCTCTAGCTTTGTTCAACAGAGAACGATTTTGGTAAAAGGCGGAGTTCTGAAAATTTAAAACTTCAACATCATCACAAAATTCCAAAAGTATGAGAAAATGGAAAATTCAATGTGTACAGGGATGAAAGGTTATTCACATTTACTAAATTCGTGAAACATTAACAACTAGGTTATGGTATAATCTATTTCTCTTTTGTTGACACATTGGTTCTTACTCCAAAAAAAATTAAGCTGCAATTTCAGGAACGGGGAAGTAAACCTCCACCAACTTCAGTGGACATCCAACTGGACAAAAATTAGGAAAATTGAGGAAAAGCAATTAGAATTTCTCAAGAATGTTTTCTTTTTGGTATGACATAAGACCTATCAGAAGACATCAGAAAAAGACTACCACTACCAGGTGTCACATTGCAGATTTTCCTCTGTACAACATATTCAACATGCCTTCTGGTGGCTATTTCTATGCCCTGCTTATTGGCAGATCTGATCCTCAGGCTGGATTGGATGTTAAGCCAGATGGCTGGTGCAATACCATTTAGATTCACGAGCTATGATCAGAACACGTGAAACTCATTTTCCATTAATGTGAAGATTAGAATCTAATAGTAATTGAAATTTTCCCGCATGCTTATGAGAAAGCTCAATTCTCAGCAAGATGCAAAAAGGGGAGCAGTGGTATCTTTGGGCATCATGAATTACAGAATACCTCTAAGTTCTTTCTTGTACAAGTAATCATAAAATTTTGTCATCACTGGAAACCTACAGTAACGATACAATTTCAATCATGTAAATCTATTTGGCATCTTGTCTACATCTTCACTTTAAGCCTGTTAGTACATAATACAAGCACTTCCTGAACAAGAATGCATGTCCACCACTATTTGTTTTAAGACTTTCAAAAACATAATAGGAATTTCAACAGACTATCAAGTAATGCGCAAAATACTTACCATGACAGACATTAGCACAAAATCAGAGCCTTGCAAAACCAAAATGTTGTAAAACACAGAGGCAATTAGTTGCAAAAGTGTATCATATGCTCTCACTAGCAAATTGCATGATGTGGGAGAAATACAGTATCTAACTTGAAAATGTCAATACCCCTTCTTCACGTTGTTTCCTTAATTCCTGAATATTTTCAAAAGTTTTGTCTCTTTTCTGTGTCACAGCTGTCAATTCCTCCTCCAAGGACTTGATCTCCTTTTCAATAGCCTCCTTCTCTTCTTCAAGTTGTTTACGCTTAGCCAAAACCAGTTGCTGGTCCTTTCGCACTCCATCCATATCAACTCTTATAAGCTATAAAAGAGTTGCAGTAATGAGTACAACTAAGTAAAATGCTATATTAGTAAAGAGCTGTATAAAGCAATCTGCAAAATAGAAGTATAAGTTACTTTCATCTGGTCTTCAAGGGCTTCTTTTTCACCCATTGACTCTTGAATTTTTGCCCTCAAAGCAGCATTAGCTATAACCTTCTCCCTTGTCCCTTCAAGCTGTTTAATTTCCCGAAGGATTTGCTTCTCCTCATTAAGGGTGATACTTTCATGTTGAATGTGGTACTGCAAACTTTTGATCTGTGACATAAAAGAAAAACAAAAAGTTAAGCACACGATTTCTTGTTCTTTCACAATTATAGTTTGAAGATTCAAGTATAAGACATGTTAAGTTTCCGAAAACACCAAAACATTGAAAAGCAAAGGATTGCAGACAAAGAAGGAAACAAGTTGGTGGATACGGAAAAAGTAGCATATATATTGCACTTGAAAAATATAAAACATCAAAGCTTACGCGATGATTAAGTTCTTCCTCAGACGAACATATACCAGATCCCCTGTCTCTGCCTCCATGTAATTGGCCCAAAGCCTGCTGCAAGGGTTCCCTTTCCTTTTTCTTCTCATCTATCAACTCCCTGTACTGCTTATTCTCTTTATTTAAATCCTTTAAGAAAGCAATCTTTTGTGCTCGATCAGCCTGCAAAAGATGAACAGACTCGATTAGAATCTTATCTTCATTTAAAGACAAGAAGCATGCAAAAAAGATAACAATACCATGACAAATTCATTGATGGATGCAAAAGAAAACACTAACCTTCAGTTTCCTTAGTTTTTCAATGAGCTGGGATCGGGCTTGATTCTTCTTCTGTAGCTCAGTGTCAGCCTGATCCAATTTGGCTTTGAGTTTCTGATCTTCATGTAACCTATACCTTACAAAATAAAAAGAATGTATCTGCTTAGGTGCAGGCCATTCATCAACTGCATCCTTGGGGAAGTTGACTTCAGCAGCTTTATTTTTTTCCCCTTTCACCGGTTCATCCATACCATGGGATCCAAATGTTATTGGTTCGCTAAGCCCCATTACGTTGCTTATTTTCCCGTTTTCCTTCAACAAACTGTTTTCTTCACCTGCAGTTTCCCCAGAAACATGGGGCAACTTAGATTCCACAACTTCCACGCCCATTATTTCAACAGAAGGTAAGCACACAAAAGTGCGTTAAAATCTCGAATCCTGACAAAATGGGAACATAAGTTACCAAAGGAATGTTCACATTTTACAGGTATCAGACAAACAAGGGATTAGAGTCAAATTGTTTAGTGGAGGTATCATGTCAAAATCAATCATCTAAAAGTACCAACATCAATAAATAAGTGAAAATCGAAAAAGTTTTAACCCGAGCTTCCTTGCAAAAGATTTTTATCGATCCAAAACACCCTTCCATTACGGGCACGGAACTGCCAAATTCTTTGAACCAGTTGACTCGCAAGTTATTAACCTTAGTGGAAGCTTTAATACAGAAGAGGATTAAAGTGCAATGAATACCAAATTTCTCACTTTACTAATCCCCATCGAATAGATCTTTGAACCAGAGACCCGAAATACAGAAAAGATAAATAAAAATGAGCCATGCAACCTATTTGAAACAGCAAAAACATGTAAGATCAGTCTAAGATATCAATTAAATAACACACAACCAATAGCGGAAGATCGAATTTAGCGACAGAAGAAAGCTTCAAAGGTCATGGAAACTTCTAATTTATGAACGAGAAAAAGCCATCAACGAAAGATCAAAAACATAAAACTGAACGATACAGGCGGGGATGTATCAAATAATGAATTACTCAACCAATAGAGATGCCATGCAAATTACCTACGGATACAATTCATGAAACAAAGACCAAAGATTTCAATTTTTTCCTCAAATTCTTACTCTTACTCTTCGTTCATTAAAAGATCAAATTTTTGAATCAGAAGCACCAAGAATACACGAAAGAGAACCATCCCACTTCATTTTCCCCCAATTCTTTCTATTTCACAAGTCAAAAGATCAAATTTTTAAACTAAAAAAATAAGCTATTTTACCAAACACAACCACTCCTATATACTTCTACCCAAAAAGACCAAAAATCAATCAAAACAAAACAGGACTACCTTCTAGGACTGAGATCAATACGGATCAAATAATTGATCATGAAACAGAAATGACAAAAAGAAGTAAAGAATCCACACTCGAAAAAATAGACAAAGGCAATAAGACGGAGAAAAATGCGGGCTTGTATCAACGAGGTAAGGAGTTTACTTACCAGAGATGGAAGCGAAAATGAAGAAGGAACCGAGAGAGACAGATATTTCCGAGGAGACCCCTTGTTTGACAATAGAGGGCTCTTTCAAGACCAAGAAACTTGAGAGATACAAAGAAGAGAAAAAGAAGTCAGACCCCAGATCTCTCTCCCTCTATATCGTTCCCTCAATATGAAGAGAGAGGAAAAAATAGAGAAATGCTCTATGAGTATTCAGTACTAGCTAGCAGTTACAGATTTTAAGGATTTGTGGGGAAAGATAATGAGGGGTAGATATGGAGAGAGCGAATTACAACTGAATATTTTCTTTTCTTTCTTTTTTTTTAACAGAGAGCAGGAAAACTCGTTTTTACATGGAACATCTTGGTTTAAAAAAAAAAATTTTCTTTAAATGGCATTTCCAATTTCCCTGAAGTAATTGGTAACTATATATATTTTTATATAAATCGCATTTCTAAATCTAAAGAATTTATTGCCAAAATACTTTTCTTCCAAAACATATATCCAAAGTAACCTAATTTTAAAATTTATTACCTTTATGATCTTTTTTCTGTCACTTAAGCTACATATATGCCACGATGGAGATAAATGCGTCCTTCATTTCTCCAATTTTCTCTCTATACCTTCCTGCATTTTTTTCTTTGGTTATCTTTCTCTTGTCAAATGGAATTCTAAGAAACTAATATTTATATTAATAGTGTCTAAAAAAATATGTTTCTCGAGTCGATAATCTCAAGGCAAATGAAAATTATTCTCTAGTCTTTTCAACGAGTAGGAAGGATAACATAACAAATATGACAACCTTGAAGTTTTTGTAATTGCTTACAATTTTCGTTGCAATTTTTGTATTTTTAAGATTTATTTTTTGAAAAAATATATGCAATAGGTTTGATACATTTAAAAAAAAATCAAAGACCAATAATAGCAAGGTCAATAATGGTAGAAATTATTTTAAGTAATTATAAGGAAATTATAAAAGTTATGCAATCTTCTTGTGCCTTTATAATAAAAAAATTTAAAATTTTTAGTTTATGTTGGAAACTATAAACTACATTAGAACTTTCCTTTCTTGTTATCTTATATAGCAATCAAGATAACTAGATGTCAATAATAACATCATTATGGGAATAAATTTTGAAAGTGAATCACATTGCGAATATTTTTTAGCAAGAGTGTTATTTTGGCAAAAAACTCAATTCTAAAACCAATAAACGTTTGGGTTTTGCATGACATGCAGAGAAGATTACAAATTGATTAAATTACTCAAAGGCAATTCCTCTTACTTTTACAGCTTTACTATTGGCCGAAGGCGTGAGGCCTAATCAAAAGATTCAAGACTCTTCCCTTTCCTACACGCTAGTGTGACTGAAGTCGTGGTTCCAGGCACTGCTACAGCTCACGGCTCTAAGCTGATTGCTAGCGTGATCTGATGTTGCATTATTGGGCCGACAGAATGGGAGGAAGAAAATAAAAAGGATGGACGAGAAGAAAAGAATGTTTGGGCGAGCCGGGCCGATTCCAACGATGGTTTTGAAGCCCGAACTTGGAATTAGGCCCACAAAATCATGTCACAGCAACTCATTTCAGCCCAAAATGGGCCCGTTCCAATCAATGATCTTCAACTAGGGTTTCCAGATTCTAGTTTAATCGTTAGCATTTGCTACCACCCAACGTATCTGTACCAGTTCTCCCGGATTGACCTCGGTGGCGGCAGGCTGCTGCGGTGGCTTCTCCTCCTACTCCGGCAAGTGCTTCGCCTTTCATTTTTAGCTTCGGTCGAGCTTTATTTTGTTTCAATTTCTTTATTTTGTTCAAATGTTCGGCAATCTTTTATCATGCAATCACTATTGTTGAAGAAAAATTAGGGCAACTTTTTGCTGCTGATTGCTCATCCTTCTAAGCATGATCACCTTAAAAATCAGAAAAGATAGCTCCTTTTGTCCCACTTTATTTATTTATGGTCTAGCTTATTTTGTGGTAGCCTTTAGTTTCTGTGTTCTGCAGGTTAGGATAATTGCAGCTGTACAGTCTTAGAATAGAAGAAAAATGAAAAATGAGAGGATTTCTTTCTTTCTTTTATGCCTTTTTTGGAATGTCTTTGTATAGCTTATAGAATGTCAAGTTGAAGACAAATCATAGGTTATCATGTTGAAATAGATTTTAACCATAACTTGCTGAAGTGTGTTATATGGTCTATATGTAGTTATGCTAGTCTTAACTCAACAGAAATTTGCATGCCCACGACTGTTAACCACGTAGTTATCACAAAAGGGATCTCTGCAATTTATACGTCCAGTAACGTCCTAGATTAAAAAGATTGCTTTTGTGCTGATGTTAAAACAGAAAGTGAAAATGCTTCGACATTGTGCATTCTATTCCGGGCTGAGTTTGGTCAAAACATGGTGGTTGGCCTTACTAGTTAGTTGGTCACAACATGCATCAGAAACCTGGTTTCTTTTTGGATCAACTCATCAAAGCCAGGCTATATGTTTGCATTTTAAAGGACTGTGTGAAGTTAAGGTATCATATACTACAAGCGTACTGGCATGGACATTAAGCTGCTTCACTTCTTTCTTGTTCAGTGGTTCTACTGAACATCTTAAACTATATTTGTGATTTGTTGAATTCTTTCAATTAGATGTCAGATGCAAATAATGAGCTCTCTGTGGATGTCAACGACCTATCTGAAGCAAGCACTGGAGAAAAACGGAAAAGAGAAGTAAAGTTAAGATCTAAAGCTTGGGAGCATTTCACCAAACTCATAAAGGAGGATGGAACGTATGAAAAATGCCAGTGCAATCATTGCAACAAGCTCTTTACATGTTCGAGTAGAAGTGGGACAACCCATCTGCTTCGTCACATAACAGAAGGAATATGTCCCGTGTATAATAGAGGGAAGAAAGATAGGCCGCCAACCATTTTAAATTATATGAGAGGGAGCTCAGAGCCAAGAAATAACATGACGTCGTGGAAATTTAACCAAGGATTGGACCAGGCTGGGCATGAATCTGTTGATATGCGGGATGAGTTGTTATCAGCGGGTTTAGAAGATCTTGAACGTCAAACCCGTGAAGTCTTGGAGGATGATTATGTAGGCCAACCGTCACCACCTGTGAGTGTCAAATATCCTCAACAATCTGCTTTAAAACGTCAATCGAGAGGAGATTCATGGATGACTGAGTTGCGTGCCTGTGTAAGTAAACTTGTTGATCTCACAACTGAAAGGATGCCAAACGGTAGTTCCATCAAATCTAGTTTAGCTGTTACTGCTCCTGATTACTCCATTGCTGCTGCTCTAAGGTGCCTGAATGAAATGGAAGATATTCCACAATCCAGCGAAATGTACCTAGATGCTTTTGAACTACTCAAGGATGATGGTGAGAGAGAGTGTTTTATATGTTTGCCAGCAGAACCGCGTAGGAGATGGCTCCAAAGGATGTTGCATCGACGTTATCCTTTGCGCTACAATTGTAATTTTTGAAGGACTTCTGGGTATATATTAGACGTTTACTGATGACAATCTTGTCTGAGTTTGTGAATGATTTCCAGTAGTAGACTACTAAACTTGGCTTGTTGCTTGAAATGGATGGTGTAAGCTCTGGCCCCTGCATTGGATGATAATGATTCTTGTGTTATTGTAGACTTTTGAGTGACAAGCAACGCATTATACTCCCAGCTAATGTTTCCCGTCCATTTGTTCTCCCTCCCTCCCAAGCAAGCTGCTGATGTTGTTGATATCTGTCTAATTGTCTTCCTTATTATTGTCTTGTGGCTTGAGAGGGATGAGTATTCACCTGATGGGGAAGGTTAATGACTTGTGAGTAGTGTCTATTTACTTGTAACAGAGCCAATTGGGGCTGATCCAAAAAATCTAATTTATATCTTGGTTGGATTGCTATTTTAGTCTAAAAAAAAATATTTAGAACTTTTCGCGAGCATATTTTTTAATTATTTTTTTACCTCAGATGTCATACTTCTAAATTCTAATTGTGTTGTGAAAATAGAAAGTCATTTTTAATTTGGGAAAACTTTCAAGAACTTTTCAACTCACACGTGTAAACAAAAGCAACAGAAAGAGAAATAAAAAAAAGAAGATATTTATGTCATTTTGTCAAAGTCCAGGGGCAATCTGAGAATTCTCGCTCTATATAAATAACAAAACCCTAAACCCTCGTTTCCCCTTCTCATACCCCTTTCTCCTTATCTCACTCTCTTCGTTTCCGCTGAGTTGAGGGCTTCTACAGAAATGGCGACTCGGTTCTTCACTCGGTCGTCTCTACTCACTCCCACCAAACAAACCCTAACTTCCTTCTTCTCTCGGTCCTTCGCTTCACTTTCTCTATCTAAACCTTCGCAATCTCTGTCCACTACTGCTTCCTCCTTCTCCCTTCTCCGTCTCCGCCCTCTCGTTGCCGTCGCGAGCAGCCTCCGCAGCAGCACCTCTGTCGCGACTGGCCTTCGAGGTTTTGCGACTCGTCACACATCGTCGTCTCTCAACGACCCAAACCCTAACTGGTCCAATCGCCCACCTAAAGAGACGATTTTGCTTGATGGATGTGATTTTGAACACTGGCTTGTGGTTATGGAGAAGCCTGAAGGGGATCCCACCAGAGATGAGATCATCGATAGCTATATCAAAACCCTAGCAGAAGTTGTTGGAAGGTCTGTGACGAGAATTTTCTGAATTGAATTACTTGTTTGTTAAATTTTTTTTTTTCGTTTAACTGAAGTTAGTATTAGTTTGTGAGTGTTTGATAGATACTCAGTATTTATTTTATTAGTAGATTTTCGAGAAACTCCTACCTCTATATCTAGGTCTGAGATGTTTAGATTTTTCATAACTCCATAGATGTATGTTGACCTAAAGCATATACTTCTGTTTTTTTTTTCTCTTTTTTAGCACAAAGTTGCCTCCTATTATATATTAAATTAAATTAATATTAATGAATTCTCATAAGCGTCATTTTATATTTAATATGAACGACGAGGTCTATTATCGCTTTTTGCATGTCCTCGGAAATTTAAAGTAGGAGAGTTATAGCTATTAGTTTAGGAAAATTTTTGACTTTATTGTTTCCGATGAGCCATGGACAATTAAAAGTGATGTTTTTCGGGAGAAACTAGGATTGGAAATGATTTCGGTTGGTTGTCTTTGTCTAATTGCTTAAGATGTTTGGAGATACTTGACTCTGAAGTTCTGATGACATTGATTGTGAAATTTTTTCATCCGATGGGCATTTCTGGAGTATGGAGTTCAAGGGACATTGACTGAAGGGTGGTGTAGTTCTTACTTGCTGTTTGTAATGCTAAATTAGACACATACTTTTGGGGCTTATTATCTTTCTTTTTCCCAGTAACGTGGCCTGTTCTTCTTTACTGTTGTACAAATTTCTGACGGATAATGTGTATCTGTTTAGCCATTAAAAAATTGCAACTAACATTTAAAAAATGAGGAACTGCTCTAGAACACTGATGATAGTGAAATTTCTACTATGTTTTATGGGATAATCCTAGACGAGGTAGCCCTCATTGAGGAGTGTCCTTGGGTTTGTGCCACATGGATTAGTGTGTAGGAGTGCCTATGCTTTTTGGTGTATGTGCCACCAACCTATGTGGTCCATAGAATATCTTGGTCTGTGTGATTATCTGAAAATTCATTCAAACAAGCCCTTTGTCTGTGTTAGATACGCTGCTGTTTTTGGGTATCTGTTTGTGAATTGAGCAAATCTACCCTCATATGTTATTTCAGTGATTGGTACAATTGGAAATAATTGAATTTTCAATTGGCTAGCATTTCGTTTTGGTGGTTATTTACTTGCACTTGTTGCTACAGTGAGGAGGAAGCAAGGATGAAGATCTATTCAGTCTCCACTAGACACTACTTTGCATTTGGAGCCCTTGTGTCTGAAGAGCTTTCTTATAAGCTGAAAGGTAACTGAATTATGTGGCTTCTTGTTAAGCTTTGATGAATATGGTATCCTTAACAATTTTGTTGCCAAAATTTGAGAAAGAATCTAATTCCTAAGCATTTTCTTTCTTTTGTTCATGTGTAGAACTGCCTCGTGTCCGCTGGGTCCTTCCAGATTCTTACTTGGACGTTAGGAACAAGGATTATGGAGGTACTAGTGTCTGTGTTTGGTTGCTGAGCCATTTGAATCTTCAACAGTGAAACTTTGTTCTTTTGGCAGTTTGGTTGATTATTATGTTATTGAATTAACTGACTTGTGAGGGAATGATTTTCTTTTCTATTTTCTTTTCTTAAACTATTTTCTTATCTGGTTTCTTTTAATTTTACCTTTTACATTTACTAGTAGTTTGGAAAACAATTATTTGAAGTGACTGCTATACTTAGACTTTCTCTGCTAGTTGGTTTGATCTATTCAAGAGTTACTTCCCTATGATTACTTTTGGCATGCATGGTTCGATCTATTCAAGTTATATATGTGCTTTTCTTCTAGTGTTATTTGCAAATTTAGTTCCTTGTGACAGCAAGTTTGCTCCAGCTGTTCGATACCGCTATGCTGTGATGTGACAATTCAGCAGTCCCAACTTGTTTTCTTGGTTTCTATTTCATTTCACCTACATATGTTCTGCTACTATGATTTTGATGATTTGTGAGTTTGGGATGCTTTGCTCTTCTGATTCAAGCTTGCTTGCTTGGTTTCTGATAGATAAACATATTTTTAACCATTTACCATCCAACTGCTATGATGCTCGGACTCATTCAGCATCTGCATGATCTGTTACCTTGTCCATTCATGCGGCATCCTGGTTTGCCTGTTACATTAATGTTTACCTGTTTATAATGTTAGACTGCCAATGCTACTGGATATTGCAGGGGAACCTTTCATTAATGGTCAGGCTGTTCCATATGACCCCAAGTATCATGAGGAGTGGGTGAGAAACAATGCTAGGGCAAATGAGCGAAATAGACGCAATGACAGACCACGCAACCATGACCGTAGCAGAAACTTTGAGAGAAGAAACATGGGCCAAGGGGGGCCTGGAGGGCCTAGGAACTTTGGTCCCACCAATACAGGGGACATACCCCCCAATAACATGGGAGGTGGTGCCCCCAATAGGGGTGGCATGCCACCCAACAACCTTGGTGGCATGCCATCCAATAACATGGGAGGACAACAAGCACCGGGCTGCATGGGACAGCAACCGTCAAACTACAACATGGGACAACAGCCACCAAACTACAACATGGGACAACAGCCACCACATTATGGGGGACAACAGCCACCAAACTATGGGGGACAACAGCCCCCATCAAGCTATATGGGCGGAAATCAGCACAACATGGGAGGTGTGCCCAACAATGCACAAAATTTCCAGTATGAGAATGCACCGAAGAGTGGAGGAGCACCTTATCAACCTGGTCCTGGGCCGAATCAGAACAATTATGCACCAAACGTGGCTGGTGGAAATCCTTACCAGAACCAGAACATGCCTGGAAGGGATATTCCACCACCTCAAAACTATCAATAGGCAGACTCTGGATGTAAATGAAATTTGTTATCTATAGGATTTTGTCTTGAAAGCCTAAGCTTATATGGTAACCAGTGAGATGATGTTTAGTTTGGTGATAATGTTTGTTTTTGGTTGAATGGAAATGGTTTAACAGTTGGGAGGAGAATGGCAAGAATATTTTGCTCCTGCTGCCTTGAATGTGATGTACAATTGGTATATCATTGGCAGGCAACTTACCCGAACCTGTATTTTTCATGTCCGTGGGAGCTCAGGTGAAACTTGTTAGCCTATCATGCTTGTTTAACCAATACTAGTTTCTCATCATGATCTGATATTCGAAATACAGCGCAAAATGTTACTGTGTGTGAAGCGCTAAGCTATCTGCATACTTGTCCAACATGGCTTACCAGCTGTTCACGAGAGTTCTGTATATCAATGGAGAGGTTACTGGTGGAGTGAGGATGTTAAACCAGTGACGTGTCCATGTCTCCTCTATCTTAGGTTACATTAAAAGTTATTTAAAAGAGAGTTAAACATTGACAATGGAAATGAGTTCCCCTTCTTTGTCGATTTCTTTACCACCTTAATTCATTAATTTAACTGCTCGCAGTTCCTGCTTCTCTGAGAAATATGGAGAAAAATAGGGAGAGCGGCGGGAACAAATCAAATGGAGCAAAAATAGGGACATGGGAATGAGTCAGGCAGGAATATAACGCACTCTAACCCCTAATTCAGAATGAGAATCGTCGGTTACAAAGCAGAATTCTAAAAGATTACAGTAATCTATTTCATTTTCAAGTTCACTTATTGGAGAATGACAACATTCATATATTGAGCTAAAGATCATATTTATAATGCGTAAAAGTGCTCCATTCTCATTGACGGATTAGGATCTTAGTTTACTCTACCAACCCTCTGTTTTGGTCTGTAACCAGGAATTATTTTCGGAGTTGTCTTGAGTTGCAGATTCAGCTCTTTTGATTTTGGCTAGACGGATTTGATCCGCTAGAGAGACTTGGTGTTGTTCTGTTCTTGTGAACAATGCGTCCAACTTTCCTACATCCACGTTCTTCCAGGTTCGTTGGTGATGACTGCTGACATGACTGATAGCAGGTTTCAGTTTGTGGATCTGAAAACAGCCAAAACAACCTCTATGAACCACTACACTGATAACACGATCTAAGATTTGAAACAAAAAGAAAAAGAGTACAGACAACAGCATCCAGTTCTGACTGAAATTTGATACAACCCAACTAGAGAGTTCATCATAGGTAACTCCAAAGCATGGGTCCTCTTCAAAGGAAACAAATCAGTACAAATAATCTGCTCCTAAACGCAACATATGTACTAAATTATGAACCCCTCATTTAAATTCTTCTAAACAGCAAAATGTATCAGTAACTAAAACATCAGCACCGTAAGAAGGCATAGAGTGGTGTCCTTTTCAAAACCTAAAGTGCAAACGAATTGTCATTTATTTTTAGCAAATTCATGTCTAGAGAACAAAATTAAAACTATATCTAGCTTCATTCACGTGGGGTTTCAAAGGTTTGTACCTTCGTCAGTTTTGCCTTCAATTTAGATTCTTGATTGGCAGCAACTTCTTCTCTCTCTTCCTTTGACCTTTTCCTTTTTCTAACTTTTGCCTTCTGCGCTAGTTCCTTTTTCCTTTGAGCAAGTATTTTCTTTCTTTCATCTCTTTCCTTTGCTGCTCTTTCTGCTAGTACATGTGCCATTTCCTTTTCCTTTGCCATTTGTGCTGCACGCTCAAGATGTTGGACAGCTATTGCTCTTTTCATCTTCTCGTAGCTATCCCAATCTAGTTCTTGTTGGTCACTACCCCCTGTCTTAGCAACTCTAGCAATGTTTTCAGCCCATAACTGCAAAAGTTTTTCCTCTGACCTTTTCCATTTCAAACGTTGTCCCCACAGCTTCTGCAGTGACCTGCTTATTCTTGTCTTAGTCCGATTACTGCAAAACAGAATAACACTTTAGTTGTAAATCTCCCAAGCTCAAGAGTCTTAAGTGTCAATGTTGAACATGGTATGTCAAGCATCCATGCAATGGTACAAACAGTTAGAGAGCTCATGCTGTGTATGAAAAGGGTGAATTTTGGGGTCAAATACAAGGAAAAACAGGGTAATTGAAAAATGGAGAAACAAAGTATTTGTGATGTGAATGATGCATCTCAATTCAAAAGGTCTAAGTTATGAAATATCTTGGCAGTGGATCTTACATAAAATTGTAGGCACTAGAACACGTTAAGCTGAATATAAATCATGCAAAGTTGCACCATACATTCAATTAGTTCTCTTCGGTGAGTCAACTGCAGCTATAGGCCATTCACAATCTTTCTATGGCAGGTTCTAGCTCTTATATGTAGCCCCATGTTAAATTAAGAAGGAAGTTTGTCAACCACCGGATAACAAAAGAATTACATCTTTAATCCAGTCAAAGACAAGAAAGCACAATACTGATGCCTAATGACTATTCACCTGAAGTAGTGTTCCAGGATTTTAGCAGCTCCTGACTATATTGGACTACAAGTTTGGGAATAATGCACAACAAATTTCATACTTGTATAATCTGCATTTTAAATTTAAAGAAGAGAAAAAAAAAGCAAATATACTGCATAAGTATCAAAAAAGCAAATTGACTATTTAGAGAGAGAGAGAAAACAGAAAGTACCTATGCGAGCGAGGGCATTCAGACATCTTCGCTCTTACCTGATAATTTTTACAGAGTAGGAAAATGTTACAGAAAATTATAGCAGTAAAAGAAAGTGGTTTCACGGACCTTTGCTGCTAATAATATACGGGAAGAGTTAGTGCAAAATGTAACAGTATGACCAGAGGAGCAGCCATCTGATGTCAAACACATACTTTATTGGCAGACTGTAATCATGAAGTAATAAATATTTTCTAAATTAGTAGGTTCTTACATGACTTCACCTTGGGATCTCTCAAGGCTTCTTTTGTCCTTCGGCTGATTATCTCCCGTGTCTCTGCATATGTAGTAAGAGAATTTAGAGTGACAAAAGCTTGAAGGAGAAATATTTCTAATGCTGTCAAGGAGTTAAACATGGTACCTTCACTGTGTTTTCTGCCTTTGTTCCATGGGACTTTTCCTTTATTTGCTAGTCCAATCCTTTTTCTTCTTTGCATTTCCCTTTCGTTCTCAGAGTTAGAATTCTTTGCCAGATTGGAAAGATTATCCTGTCGAGTATCTTCAGTTAAAGGTTGGTCCTTTAATAAACTAGAACAGTTTTTTTGACAAGAATCCACAACGTGAAATGTCTCCGCGATACTAATGCTGGCCGGAAAACTTCTACAATGATAAGGCACCAAGCACGAACTAACACAGGTAACCAAGGAAGAGACCTTCTTCACACGAGACACACCAACAATCAACACTGTTGTGCTTGATCGTGCTCGTATGTGTTCAACTGCATAACCAGAATTTGGTACTAGTAGACTGTTGTCCTTGTGAATAGGAGGGGAGAGCTTCCTGAGAGCAATGTTGTGTCACTAATAAACTAAACATTCATCAGGGCACAAATTTTCTCTATCTGGCTACGTCATAACATAAATGACAGTACAGAAACAAGTGACGAGAAAAGCTTTATTAGCAAGTTCAGATGGGAAACGAATCTTTTGACAATTTAAGCTTCATATCAACCAATATTCAGCGCCACCAAGACCTACTTTTTATTTTCCCAAGTAAATGTCCCTAATTATCTGAATAAACACAAAACAGGGAAAAGGTTGTATTCAACTACTTACATCCTATTTAATACCGTCACCACACATGCTAGTATGTTAGCCATAATCTTCAAGCAGAAAAGCAAATTTCCAAACTGGTTTTCCAATATTTTCTGCATTTGTATAAATAGGTATCAGTAATTGCACTAAAACCATCCATACCACTCTATTTTGCCGGGGAAAAGAGCACATAAAATCTACTTGGAGTTCTATAACTTGAAATGCACAATGTGGGATTAAATTAGCAAGCAAATTCTGGAAAGTGGAGGAAACATGACAGGAGATCATGAAAGATTGCAACTTGGGGAGCTAAATTGCAAAAACCCACATCAAGAATTTGACAGAAAATACAGAGGCAAGTGATGGGGAGCCTTACCAGGGAGACAAGAGCATTGCAGTAAAGAAAATGTACTACGAATAGTTATCTTATTGAATAGCCCCCAGAATTCCAAAAGCAATCGTCAGATGGAGGAGGGGAGAACTGGCAGTGGTTGAGTGAACAGTTTAGATGCTCGATGCAAGCAATGAGGAAAATCCTACGATTGTCTTACACGCGCACCACGTAGCGGGTGTTGGAAATCATTATCTAATTTTTACACGCAAGCATGACAATTGCCCTTGTTTTTGCCCTTTTTAACCTGTGTGTGTGTGTAACATTTCATGCATTTTGGGTCGCTAGTTGTAGCTTTATCTGCTAAGCAACATGAACAACCCATCGGCTGAAAAATCTTAATCCAGAATTTCGTCTTCCAACAAGCCCAGCCCAACCCAATTCAATTGGATTCTTCTCCGCCGCTCCACGTCATCTTCGATCCGTATAAATGGAAACGCCCGTCTAATTTCCACTTCAATTCTCGGTCCTGACTCTGTCTAGGATTAGGGTTTTAACATCTCCTTTTTTTCACTTTCCCTTCCTATTACATCAGCAATGGATCCGATTAAGAAGAGGAAGCTCGATGAAAACGGCGTTCTATTACACGATCCAGACGGCGCCGTCGCCGCAGGAATGGTACCTTTCAAGCTTTCCGTCGAAGACGCGCGTAAAATCCTCGAACCCTTTTCCCGCGAACAGCTACTTGAGATCGTCCAATCAGCCATCCTTCACCACGTGGACGTTCTCGACCTAGTACGATCCATCGCCGACCGGGACCCAGCACAGAGGAAGCTCTTCATCCGCGGCCTTGGTTGGGAAACCACGACGGACAAGCTGCGAGCTCTCTTCTCCCAATACGGTGATCTCGAAGAAGCTGTTGTAATTCTCGACAAAGTCACTGGAAAATCCAAAGGTTATGGCTTTATCACTTTCAAGCATATTGATGGGGCTATGGCAGCTCTTAAGGAACCTAGTAAGAAAATTGATGGTCGGATGACGGTTACTCAGCTAGCGGCTGCTGGTGTGTCTGGTGGGCCGGGTGGCGGAGGGGGGAATAATCAGGTGGATGTTTCGGATAGGAAGATTTATGTGGCAAATGTACCTTATGATATGCCGGCTGAGAGGCTATTAGCTCATTTTTCCATGTATGGCGAAATAGAAGAGGGACCATTAGGCTTTGATAAGGCAACGGGGAAATCGAGAGGGTTTGCTTTATTTGTGTATAAAACTGCCAATGCTGCGAGGGCGTCTTTGGTGGATTCTGTAAAGAATATAGATGGGCATCAGTTGAACTGTAAACTTGCTATTGATGGGAAGAAGAAGCCAGGTCCTGGAGGGCCTCAGGGTGGTAATGAAGGGAACAATGATGGTATTGGGGTGGGGATGCCTGGTGGGATTGCTGCGCAATATGGTGGGCACGGTGGAGTTGGTGGTGTTACTGGATATAGTGGATTTTCTGTGCCTTCTGTGGGTGGGAATCAATTGAATTCGTCATTAGGTAGTGGTGGTGGCGGCGTTGGTGTTGGTGGTCCAGGGATGCCCGGTATTGGCAGCCAAGGGATGGGGTCTAATTTAGGTGTTAGTGGTGGACTTGGTCCTTATGGTGGCGGGACGCATTACGGTGGGCCTGGTTCTACTGGATATGGTGGGTTGGGTGGAGCTGGTGGAGGATTGAGTGGTGTTGGGAGTGGAGTTGGCGGTGCTGGTCGTGGTTCTTTTTATGGATTGCCACCAAGCTCAGGTGGTATGCCAACTGGAGATTATCAACAGGGGGCACACTATGGCTTATCTTCGTCTGGATATCAAAGCCAGCATCATCAGACAGCAGGAACCTCACCAGCTCCCAGAGTTCCAACTGGGGGAATCTACCAAGGGGTGCCTCCTTATTATTGAGGTAGATTTTCTAATTTATTCAAATATTGCATCATTTTTTGAACAAATGTGTCACTCCTTTCTACCTACATTCTGCTGGTTCACCGTTCTCTCGTTGTACTCTCTTTTTGTGGTTTGTTTTAGGGATTCTTGTCAATTTTGGTGATTGTTTAACCATTCATCACGTGATCTGGAGTGAATATGTTCTATTGTATTTTTTTAGTTGGAGTTATAACTTGTTTGACAGTGAATTCTTTCATGGATTTCTGCATGATTTGGGAGGTTGCATGTTTTTGGTTTTGTTATGGTGTTCATTAATATGTCTGGTCAGTACCATGCATTTTTTGTTTTGTTTCATTTTTTATTACACTGTCCCATTTTCATACTTGTATGTGATGAACTGGTGCTTCATACAAAGTGCATCATGGATGGTTTAGTGCTTATCGTTGTGTTTGTTGTTACCTTTCTTCCCCACTCTGTATTATTTGAACTTATTGCTGAATGATACATCGTAGAAGACTTTCCTATAATAATTTCCAGAATTAAGAAAGTGTTACCTCTGAGTTCTACCAGCTTTTTCTTTGCATGCTGAGTTAATATCGTACGCCAATGTGCCTTAAAAGATTTCATTTTTTTTGAATTTTGAGAAACTTGTTACCATTTGAATTGGTTGCATGGTTCAATTTGTTTCGGATAATAGTTGGAAGTAATTGGTGGAGATATGTTTTTTTCATGTAGTGTAAATGAGTCAGAATTGATGATTGCAATGTGCCGCATTAGTAAGAATAACAGTATTGCTCTATCTTTGCGTAACATAGACCATATTTACGGGGGTTGACCTGTTTATGTGCTTTTGTTCATCCTGATCGTTTTTGTTATGTAATTTTGGAGTTAGCCTCTGATTTGGTCCTCATGCTTGTGGGTTCATTTAGCGATCCTCTTTTGTTAGTCTACGCAGCCAGAAAGTCTTCTTTTGTTGTAGTCTGTTGTATTTTTCTTTGTGCTGGTTCATATGAAGTCATACATCCTATGAGATGTTTTATTTATCTACTATTCTAAATTAATGGGCAAGTTCTTTTTTGGAGGCTTCTGCTTCATTTTTCTTATGCACCATCTACGGATGAGAATTATGCTTTTACAACATTTGGATTGTAAACTAAAGAAAGGGGTAATCGACAGTAAATCTTCAAATTCTCTTCCTGGTTCGACCTGTGTTTGATATGTATTTTATGTGCATCTACTTTGATCACATGAACCTATGCTATTCATGTGAATCTTCAATAATGCATGATTTACATATTTTTAACCTTCGTTCTCTTTGTAACAACAGCAGTAGTTTTTCTCACCTTTATTGTCGTATTCTAGAAATTATAATTCCTTTTTTATTTTTCCTTCTTGCGCTTGGTTGTTGGTTGTCTGAATTTTGTCACTACTCATTGTTGTTTTGCTCTGTGACAAGACCCTTTTTTTTGGGTGTATCATCTCTAGTGTTGGAGAGAATTATGGTGCGTTTGGTTACTTCTATATTGTCATGGTGCTGCTGCTTCTTGGCTTAAATTCTTGCCTTTTCTTTCTTGAGTTTTTATGATGTTTGAGCTTTGTTTTGCAAGGTGTATGTGGATTGACATTTTAAGTTGTGAATGGATGTTTGGTTCAGGTGTGTGAAAGCTTGTTGGCGCAGTTGCTTTTTATGGTTCTGGTGATTTCGTGCAGACAATATGAACTCTGGCTTCATGATTTTGATTTGCTGTGTAGTTTGGCTCTTCGATACATCTGCGCTTCATGATGTCATCAAGTGAAATGCTAGTAATCTAAGTGACTGAGTTTTTTGTATTTCTGATCTAGAGCTTCTATGCAATTTGAGTCTGTACGAACTTATTTAGATTGCTATGTGTTTTTAGGGAAAAAGATATGAATTGGACTGACTTTAGTTGTTTGTTTTGCTGCTGGTGCAGCTGACTTTTGCTTATGGCATTTGACTTTAATTGGTTCTGATCTGTCTTTGGAGCATCTGCCATATTTTTAGATGCTATGTTATTTTTTATGTGTTTGTTTGCCTTTTTTGGTTTCCTTGTGTAGTATTCTGTCAATTAGACATTGCATTTACAGTTGTCACCTTCCAGGCGTAATCTAGAATCCACCACAAATACAAATCCTTGATAATTTTCTTTGAAGTGAGTTAGAGTGTGCATTAGGTGAATTAGACTAAAAGAGCATTTTTTTGGTTTCTCTCTTTGGGGCAAAAAGAATGGAGGAAATGAAAACAGAGGCACGATAAGGAAAATTGTCTACATTAAATTTTGAAAATTTCAGTTGGAAGCTAAATGTTAGGTAAGTGAATTATCTTCATCTAGTGAAAAAACATACAATTATGTGTTGCACTTGGAAAGACAACCATTTATGTGTTGCACTGACATTTGAACTCTGATTGCTTGACGGTATCATTTATCGTGGAAAAATTGGATGAAAGTTTTCTTGTTAATCAGGTATTTTTTGCACTCCGATTCTTGTGGAAAATTCTTGTAGTTCTTGAGTTGTGTCTTCTTGGAGTGGTCAACCAACCCCTGATTGGCTTGTCCTACGTCTCAACACGAGTATAAATCATGCAGTGTTCTAGCAAGCTAGTCAAATTGAATTGTTACCATTGGACACAATATTTTGCTAATAGTTTTTGTTTTCTATATACAATTTAGGCATCAGAAGATATTTCTGTGAGTAGATTTTGTGGCTTAGCCTGAGCACCGATGCATCTTTTTGATGCTTTAGCACGAGAGGTGGTGTATCTTAATGCCTGGCCTTAAGAATTTGCTTTCTTAATCGGGCTATTTATTCTTCGATTCTGAAGAATTTTGGATTTTTAGTAAATAAACTATGGTCTAATTGTTATGTGTTCCTGTTGACTTGTTTTTAGAAATTGAAGTGGCGCATGTAGGTATTTTGTTTTACTGAAGTTCTGCTCTCTCATCTGTCTCCTTCAATGGAACCTTAAGCTCTTAGTCTTATGTTCTTTTGGTGAAATGTGTTGGTTGGTATGCATTCTCTGTTTTAGAAAATTTTCTATTGAAAGCGGATGAGATTGAACTGGTAATCATTTGGAGAAGTTCTTTAGATGCCCAAGTTGGAAAGAAGATGACACATCAGCAAACCTGTTTGGTAAGCCAATAGTCGTATGTAGACTTTATCTAAGACCGAGAACTCATATCTATATGGCAGAAACTGCTGGAAAAATGATCAACAAAAATCAGAACAGGAAGAGCAAAGAGAAAGCAGAGAAAATTTGAGATTGATAATAAGAATGAATTAGAAATTTTAGAGTCACTTCTTTGTCCATTAGTCATTTTATCACACTAACCCTAAAAAGACGTCAAATCTGCAGGAATTCAAGAGAGTAATAAATATTTGCACCCTGTCATTTGTCTTTAGGTTGACTGGTTTGTGATTCCATTTGTGGCCAAAACTCTCCTCCCTAGTTTCCAGTGACATCAATAATGGACATGTCAGAGGGTACATTATAGTCTTTTCAGTTTGTGAGCCTTGTAGTTCGGTCTAGTGCCTTTTTTGGGTGAACGGGGAATTCTGCCATGTTGCTTTATTTGTTGATTTACTCTCATGACAGTGTTCCTATGACTGAATCGTCAATTGTCCGGAGTGTGCTACTCCCTTCTTGATGACTTGATGATGCCGTTGTCTATAATAATAAGCTGTAAATGTCCTTCGGAATCACCCTTTGGTCATATAACTGACTTGGGGTGGCTAACAATGGCTAATGCTATATTGGCCCCATCTGGGTATGTTTGAAATTGCCATCCTATAAGGTTCAGAAGTCCCTTTCCTCTTTGAGATTGTGAAACAGTGTCCGCATAAATCTGCTGGAGCAATCAAGGTTGCGGCAACTTGCCAATCATCTGGGCGACAGACATGTTTGCCCGAAGAAAACATACTATCACATCATGGGGCGGTTATAGAGGAAGTCTGGTTGAATGTAATGTACATTTCGATAAATTCTTGGGCGGATGTAATCTGTTACCATGTATGAAAATGTTCCCAGATTGTTGCCTCTTTGGAATATCTTCCAGTCGATTGTACGGATGTTGAATTTTTGTGTGGTCGCATCATGTTTTGATTGAAGAAATAAAGGAGCAGCAGAAGCAGCAATGCTGTTAACTGGATGGATGACTAGAAAGGCTCCTTCCTAATGATGCGGGATAAAAGTTCTCCAGTTGGATAAGAGAGGAAGTGGGGATAAAGAGGGCTGTGTAAAAATTAAATCACGGTAGTGTCGTGCAGGTCATGACAAAAGGTTAAAGCATGATGCTACGTTACATTATAAACAAAATAGCAAAAAAAAATTGACAATATGTTTAAATTATTGTTCAACGCTGCATTATTTATCATTATTTAAATTAACATTAACATTAAAAATTTCAAAAATATGACTTAGGCAAATTTTATTAGTATTTTAATAGCATGTTTGATTATCATCTAAATTTATAAAGTTAACATAGTATTGCATATTAAATTTTTGACAATTCTGGTTTATAATAGGATTTTAGTAATGGAGTTTTCAGTAATACGGTTTAAGGATTTTGATTTTAAGATTACGGTTAAAGGGTTTATGTTTATATTAAGGGTTACATTGTGAGTATCTGGAAATTAGGATTTCATGGTAGGTAAAACGTTAAACTCTAAACCTTAATTAAAAAAAAAAAGGTTGCGTTATATGAAAAAAAAAAAAGCTTCCTTGCTGGTTAGTTTTATTAAAAAAAAAAAAAAAGAATCTATCGATACTCAGGAGTGGCGATACAAAAAAAAAAAATTGCCACTCATTTGATGAGTGGCGATGAAAAAAAAAAAAAAGAAGAAAAACCTTTCATGAGCGGCGAAGCTTTTGCAAAAAATAAAAAAAAAAAGAAAACTAAAGCAATCAAAAATAAATGAAAATTAAAAGCATTTTTATTGGAAATCTCACCCACCCTCAAACAGCACCAATTTTGTGACAATTTTTATTTTTGACAATATTGCAAGAAATTCGCGGTGGTATAAAAATAATACTACAGTTTTTAAAATATAAACCCATAAATCCTAGAATACGCTTTTTCGTTTACACACTACTGAAATGGGTTTTGGTCTTGGGTTAAGCTGAAACATACCGCTCGTTTATAGGAGAATGAAAGTATTTTAAATTAAGGTCGAGTGTCCTTAATATCTAGTAGATTCAGGAGGATACCGCTCGTTTATAGGATATGATCTGATCAGTACTACTTGACGGGCTATGGCACTTAACCGGCAAGCGTTTTAACAGCAGTTCTCGTGATTTCTGAATCAGTAGTGTCAGTTCCACCGAAAATAAAATGCCCTCGCTGGCCTCCTGAGCGAAGAACGGCAACCAGATAGGTTCGAATTTGCAAAAAACTTGGAGACCAAGAATACCCCCCCGCCCCAACCCCGGCTCCAGAACCTGCCAATTTCACCATATACTACGAGCACATTAGTCGTCCCAATTCGGCCATCTACTCCATCCATGGTTTTACGTTTCCACTGTCAGTAATACACACACCTCAGGCAGGCTGAAGTGAACTTGTCCATTTTCTCACAAAGATCAACACTTGATTTCTGATTTCTTACTGTCCTTCGGCAAACTGCAAAAAATGAACCAAATCAAGGTTTCCAAGGGTTTAGACTCTGAAAGAAAGAGAATATTCTCTTCTAAGCTCAAGCTCTCCAATGGCTGCTCTTCCGTCACTCCACCCACTCCTCCTAGGGTCAATCTTGAGTCATTTTCCCTGCACCGACTCCATCAGATGCATTCCACCGTTACCGCTAACCCAAATCCTGATGATCTCAAGGAAACCAGAAAACTTGAAGCTTCATTGAACGTCGAAAACCAAGAAAAACAAATCCTTCACAACATTTTGCACTCCTTCACGAAATCCCGATTAGTTGAAATCCTTCAGGAAGCTGCCGTTGCCCACCCCGCCATTCTCCATGCCGTTCTTTCCATCGTTGATGACAACCCATCCCACCGCAAGATCTTTATCAGAAATCTTGGCCCTAAAACCACCCCTGAAAATCTCCACAGCTTCTTCTCAAATTACGGAGAAGTTGAAGAAGCTAAAGTCATCTTTGACAGGACCACTGGATATAGTAAGGGCTATGGTTTTGTTACTTTCAAGAATGCCGAGTCTTTCTTGCTTGCCCTGGAAAACCCCAGCAAGAAAATTGATGGATTCGTCAGTTTTACCAGCATTTGCGTTGGGCCCGATCATTCATCAGGGAAGACTGATGATAGTAGTATCAGTAGCGATGAGATGGAGAAAATGAGAATGAAAAGGAAAATTCGGGTGGAGAATGTGCCAGCCGAGATGAGTTCTGAGACTCTGTTGAGTTTTTTTGAGAAGTACGGTGAAATTGAAGAAGGGCCTTGGGGGTTTGATATGGGGACAGGGAAATCAAGAGGGTTCGCTTATCTTTTGTATAAGAATGAGGAAAGTGCAAAAGCTGCTTTGGCTGAGAGGGTGAAATTTGTCGATGGTTTCCGGCTGGTTTGCAAAATGGTGTTGAGGCGGGAAAGGGAGAGAAGTAATACTAATAGGAACCCAACGGGTTTAGTGGAGTCACTGCCTTCGCCTCCGAGAACTTTGGTTTTGCCTGTTTCCTATTACTATTGTTGTGTCTATTATTCTCGTCGATTGGTTCCCTACAATTATTACTATCAGAATGAGCTTGCTATGGGCGGCAGCAGCGGACAATTGGGGCCTGGGACTCGAGGGCAATCATCATCAGCTTTACGTCCTCCTGCTCCTTCTGGTAGATAGAGTCCGTGCTGCAGATTTTGAAGGACTAAAATGTTGAGGCTGGTTTGTTGTTGTCAATCTTGTACAGCAGAATGAGTTGAGAGCACTGTTTCTAATCTTTACTTGGTGACAGCGTTAAAGATGTGATTAAGAGATAGTAGTAGTAGTATATTAGTATTAGCTATTGACATTTTAAGGAGGAAGAGGTACACAACCAGGTTATTTTGGATTTTGTAGTAGGTTGAAGCACTGGATAGCCCTCTTTTTTTTACCTTTGTTTAGCATTGAGGGTATGTATTGCTTAAGAGATAGCATGCACAAATGAGAGGGATTTTTTTTTCCCTGGCTTAAAATCCTTGTTCAATATTATTTCATTAAGTAAGAGTGTGTGTGTGTGTATATATATATATATATATATATATATATATATATATAACTATATATATACACACACATACACACATATGTGTTGGCCTAGTAAGGTTTTACAAAGGGAGATATACTGCGTTTAAATGATAATTGGATCAAGTATATCTTCTACTTGTGTTGTTCTTGTTCTCGTATTATATGTTGTACATGCATCCTGGTTTCTCTGCATTAATTGTTAGCTTGGAGGATGACAAAAGAGACAAAAAATATAGGAGCAAATGCGAGGAGGAAATGTCACCAGAATGTGTAATGGAAGACAGGGTATGATAAATTGTAGCTACGACTTGTATCATTGAAAGGCAGACTGATTAAAGAAAGAGAGGAAATCTAAAACTTATTTTCTTTCTCTATCTTCAAATTTCCAAACATGATTTGTTGCAACTTATGCAAAAATCACACCTAATTTAGATGAATTATAGACATCACATCAGCTAGTCAAATCTATTGGATTCGTGATGGAAAGTTGGCCTTCTTTGGATCGTGACTTTTTGTAAAAAAAAAGTTTTTTTTTTGTTTTCGGTGAACACATATTTTTACTAGGTTTTCTGTGAAGGGAAAAAATTAAGAATAACATGAAGGAAAAATATTAGAAAGATGAAAAATAATCTAGAAGACAAAAAAAAAAAAAAAAAAAGGCAGGGTAGGTCCTTAGCCTCTGCTTGACCCAAATTAAAGGTCAAAAGAACATTCCCAAAGGCCAAAAGCAAATTCAAAAAAAAAAAAAGAAAAAAGAAAGAGTCCAGTCTACCCCTATATGGTATATATATACCACGACAAGGTAATTAAAAGCAAAGGAAAACAGCAAAAGCCTAATCCAATAGAGTATCAATTTCCAGTTCCAAATGATTAGACTGATTAACCTATTGAGGAATTGATAATGACCCTCTAAAACCTACATTCATATCTAAAGAATTTTATCCTTTTGCAACTTGTTCCTATCATATTCGCCTTTATGTTACTACTTATTTCCCATAAATATTTTGGCATCATAAAAATTCTTTTTTTTAAAAAAAAAAAATCTTAGCTGACTCCATCTGATAAATATATGGTTAATTTAGAGATTAGTAGTTGCTAAATTGATTCAAATCACTCCTACTCAATAATTCATTGGGCCACAATAAACTTACCACCCACCCCCCCCATACCCAAAAAAAAAAAAGGGAGCCTTTTGACCAGAACTAAAAATGGAAACGAAATATACAATGGTGAATATCAGTACAAATAATTGATACGCCGGCAGCCCAAAAAGTCCCCTATTTTATTATTATTTTTTTGTCAGAACAAAAAGTCCCCTATTAACTTCTCAGCTTTGTCCCTCAAGCTCTCCTGCCCAACAAACAAAGCAACTCCGCCTCCCCCCACCATCATCATCGTCATCGTCGTCGTCTCTCAGCTTATCATCATAACCACCCGCCGACCGGCAGCCGCCTCGGTAGCCGGTAAGTTTTAGAATATCTAGAATGTCTTCAGAGTTATAATACTATTCCTATGAAAGTTGTATATGTATGTCCGCCTGGCTGCTGATCGTGTGTGCTAGTATATAGGTTGATCAAAAGCTTAATTTAGCTGAAAATAAACATAAAATAAAGTAAATTCTGGGTTCTAAAAGCTTAAACGATCTTTAGTACTTCAGTGGTTCTTCATGTTAATTATTCATTGATGTTCAAAAATTGGAGCTTTCCTTGAATATTGTGGATGATACTATAAATTAGTTGAATTTGTTAAATTTCTGAAATAGGGTATAGAATGACATAAAGGCCGGTTCAATTCAACTCAGGTTCTTGATATCCTTGATTCCATTTAGTTGATCGTCATACTGTTATTGCCCAACTTTGACAAAGACTTCTTTTTTATCCCTCTTGTTTGTTCTTCTTCCAACTAGTATAGAGCGTATCTTTGAGGCATCTTTATCCGTGCATGCCTGTGCTAATGGGAATTATTAAG